CTTTCTTTCTTTCTTTCTTTCTTTCTTTCTTTCTTTCTTTCTTTCTTTCTTTCTTTCTTTCTTTCTTTCTTTCTTTCTTTCTTCTTTGTCCCTCCCTCCCTTCCTTTCTTCTTTCCTTCCACTTCCTTCCTTCCTTTTCTTCCCTTTGTTTCTCTCTTCTTTCCTTCTCCCCTTTCTCTCCTTTTTTCTTTCTTTCCATCTTTCTCTTCTCTTCCTTTTCCTCCTTCCATCCCTCATTCTTTCTTTCCTTCCTTCCTTCCCCTGACTTTCAGACTGAAGGCCGACCAAGAACTCAAGACAACGAAACTTCTCCCATCCGTGACCTCCATGAAAAGCTCCAACCTTCGCAATTTGTTTCTTCATTTGCTACCATATGGATCTTTGTTGTGAGATGCTACAATGAGCTTTAAATCTGTCTCCCTCTTAGGAAACCGATTCCCACTTCCTACACATTGACCAGCTTGTCTCAATATCTCCAACTCTCTGCATTGGACATCATCATATATTGGGGGCCAGGGTAAATCTTCCCCCTCCCCCCAAAATCCCCCCCTCCTAGTGAAAATTCTCTCCATACTCACCGGATTTAAGATGGGCTGTTGCAAAGCCATTTTGGGGTTTGCCAAAGTTGGTGGATTAAAGATGGCTTGCTTCTTATATGCCCTCTGGGTAAAAGTCGAACTTTCTATAAGGTGCCAGAAAATTAAGGTTAATTTCCTTCTAAGGAGGCGTGGTTAGAAACCTGTTGTACTTTGCCCTGTAAGTTAGCAAACAAATTTTTATAAAAGGGTGTTTTTAAATCTTGAGATTTCAAAGGTTAGCATTTTCCCTACCATTCCAATACACTTATTCATTTATTTAGCGTTTGGCGAAGATATGAACTTACAGTGGTTCAAATACAGGTAGTCCTTGACTCAAGATCACAACCGGGCCCAGCATTTCCGTTGCGAAGCGAGACATTTGTTAAGTGAGTTTTGTCCTGTTTTATGACCTTCCTTGCCTTTCTTGTTGTTAAGTCAATCCTGCAGTTGTTAAATTAGCAACACGATTGTGAAGTGAATTTGGCTTCCCCATTGACTTGGGCTTGTCTGAAGGTTGCAAAAGAGTCACATTCCCCAAAAGAAGTCAATCAACATTTGCCTGGTGTCATCAATCTCCCCCTCCAGGTCTTAGCAGGGTCAGCTCCCGTTCCCACGGGAAGGAGAACCATCCAGCCTAAACAACTTTCTCTATCTCCACTCCTCCCACCTTAGGAATCAAATGACCCCAGGACATCGTAACCGTCATAAATATGAGTCAGTTGCCGAGCATCTGAATTTTGATCACATGACCATGGGGATGCTGCAATGGTCATAAGCGTGAAAAATGGCCGTAAGTCACTGTTTTCCGTGCTGTTGTAATGTCGCTAAACAAACTTATTGTAAGTCGAGTGTCAGGTTTCCAAGTGATGAAATCCATTTAAAAAGGAAAGAGCAAAGTCCATCTTCCAAAACGATTTCTTTTATTTAGGAAAGCATCAAATTGGCAAAGTCTGTTGTAATTCTAGATCTGACACAATCCAGAATTATACCACATAATATTGGAAGTTAGAAACACCCTCCACCTTTTTTATTCTTTATAATTTATAGGCATTTTTTAGTTTAAACGGCATTTCCTCCTTCTTGTAACTGCTTGTGGGGGAGTTTTTTGTCTCCAGTCAAGATTATTTGGAGCTTGGAAGCAACGTGAAGGAATAAAAGGGGCTTTGCCTGTTTTTTGTGACTGTGTTTATTTTGTATCCCAGCCTGGGTCATCACATCGTGCTTGAGCAAGGGGTTGGACTAGAAGACCTCCAAGATCTCTTCCAATTTTGTTATTCTGTTATTATTCTGCTATTCTGATCATGGCAACTGGGATGTAGAGTCAAGCCTAAGCTATTTAAATGCGGCCAAAGCTGGTCAAGCCCAGCAAGATCTGGCATTTCATTTGTGTGACTTTTATCTTCAAAGAAGCCCCAAACGGATGTGCCTGGTTTGTTTCCTTCATTTTAATGACTATCTGATTTAGAAAGGATGAAGCTATGCTAATTGGGCATTGTTCTCCATTGAATTGCCTTAATTGTTTCATCTTACTTAAGACTGAGCCAAAGGAGCCGATTATACATACTTAAAATTTTATACTTGATTTGATCTTTGTTTTGTCTGTGTGTGTTTTTTAGTAATTGCTACTTAAGGGCAATTAGGTGCAGCAAGTTTAAACCCAAGGAGTTTAATATTGAAGCAACGTCTTCACTTCAGGCTCTTCTATATGCGTTCGGACTACCGAACTCATCATTCCCAGACAAAGCAATTAATAATTGTACTAAGTTCCTCATCTTTGCTTCTGAATTCACGACCCCCCCTTCCAATACTTTGTAAGTACGCAAAACCCATTTTGGAAAAAAAAGATGGTTCACAAATTCCTTTGCATCATCAGGGGTGTGTGATGACCCAGGGTGGGATACAAAATAAACACAGTCACAAAAACCAGGTGAAGCCCCTTTTATTCCTTCACTTTGCTTCCAAGCTCCAAATATCCTTGACTGGAGACGAAAAAGTCCCCCACAAGCAGTTACAAGAAGGAGGAAATGCCATTTAAACTAAAAAATGCCTATAAATTATAAAGAGTAAAAAAACAATACAAACCAGGCAAGATAAGGGCTTGAAGACGTCCACAGATATCAGAAAAAACACTGGGAAGGATGCCAAATTCAGAGAGGAACCATAAACTAGAGATATTTCCATGCTTTGTTTCCAGCACTCACCCGTACGCATGTCCATCCTCTTATGCAGATCTCACACCTGCCACCCATGAAGGGGATCAAGGCCCTCTCCTCCTGAGTAGACACGTCTCTCCGCTAGGATGGAGAGGGGATGGGCCTGGGTCCTCCTCTGACTGTCCAGCCAGCCTCTGCCCTTCCCCAGCCTCCTCCACAACCTCCAGAGCCACACTTACACTCCCTGGCAGCTGTTCCTCCTCTCCCTCAGAGTCAGTCTCCATCAGGGGCATGACAGGGTGGCTGATCCCAGTTCAGGTAAACCAGTTCTCCCCGGTTCAGGGGAACTGGTACTGAACTGGTAGCTAATTTTATGACCGGTTCGGTGAACTGGCAAATCCCACTCCTGGCTGGTCCCGCCACCCCACCCTGTCCCTCCTGGGGGTTCCCACACGGCCAGTTTTGGATCCCAGGTAAGTACACGGCCTTGTTGGGGGGGGGGCAAAAAATGGATCCCAGGTAAGTACAAGGCCTTGTTGCGGGGGGCAAAAAATGGGCTTCCAGAGGGCCTCCAGAGCCCAGGAGTCTCAAGAAAAACCTCTGGAGTCTGGGGAGGGCAAAAACACACCTCCACCATGGTGCAGGAGGCCAACTAGGCCACGCCCACCATGGCCACACCCACACAGCAACCAGGCAGAGAACTGGTTGCTAAAATTTTTGAAGCCCACCCCTGCGCACCATCCAGGACCCATCGCCTTATTTTTCTCCAGAAGAAATATACTGTAAATAAAAATCTAAGACTCAGGAGAAACCAGACACCCATGGTCTTCCCACATGAAGGGCTGCAAAGGGTCTTAGCCATCCTGGCACACGCAAGAATAAAACATGGCCACTTTTTTTACGATTCATTATGCTTGGAACGCTCTTCCAGAACACCTAAGACCGTGATGGCGAACCTAGGGCGCCATTTGTGTGGGCACGCGAGCCCCAGCCAAACTTACCTGCACTGTGCATGCGCTCGCCTCCCCGCTGATTTTTTGGCCCATTTGAGGCCCTTTTCACCCTCCCGGAGCCTCGAGGGAAGGCGCTGCAGCATCAGGAAGCTGGAAAATGGGCTTTCTGGAAATACCGGAAGTGCCAAAATGGGCCCGTTTTCGGCCTCCCACAGCTCCATAAGCTTTCCTTGAGCCTCTGGTAGGTGAAAACAGCCTCTCCTGGGCTCCAGAGGACATCTTGGGAAGCCGAAAAACAGGCTCTCTGGAAATACCGGAAGTGCTGAAATGGGCCTGTTTTTCGGCCTCCCAAGGCTGCAGAGGCTTCCTTCAAGCCTCCGGGAGGGTGAAAATGGCCTCAAACGGGCCAAAATTCAGCTGGGAGGCACAGGCATGCACAGTGCAGGTAAGGGGAAAGGGATGTTGCGCAGCCATGCGCGGGGGGGATGGGGTGCATTGCATTATGGGTGCTGGCACGCGCATGCTTTTGGCACACCACAACAAAAAGGTTTGCCATTACTGTCTTAAGAGATGCTTTCAAAATGCTTTTTAAAAAAAACCTTATGTTTCCAATACAGATAGTCCTCAATTCATGGCCATCATCGGGTGCAGAATTTCCATTGCTAAATGAGCCATGCCTGATTTTACGATCTTTTTTTTTTGGCATGGTTGTTAAGCCCCCAAGGTGCTTTTTTTTTTTTTTTCCAAAGGACTTTCTTTTTCCTTGAAGGCATGTCGCCTCTTATCCAAGAAGCGTCTTCAGTTCTGACTTTCATTTAATCAGAACTGAAGAAGCTTCTTGGAGGAGAAGCGAAACCTCTTCAAGGAGAAACAAAGGAAGTCCGGTTGCCTTTGGAAAACCATGACCTGGATCACCGAGAATCTCCATAGACATGATTGTTAAGTGAAGCATTGCGCTCGTTAAGCGAATCCAGCTTCCCCATTAATTATACTTGCCAGAAATTGTCTGGAAAGGTCACAAATAGGGATCACGTGACCCTATGAGCAGTGGTGGATTCAAAAAAAATTACTACTGGTTCTGTGGGCATGTCTTGGTGGGCGTGGTTTGGCCTGGTGGGCGTGGCAGGGGAAGAATACTGCAAAATCTCCATTCCCTCCCCACTCCTGGGTGAAGGTTACTGCCAAGTCCCATTCCTTCCCCACCCCACTAACCTGCTTTCCAGCTCTGTTCTCCTGTGCAGGGCAACCAAAGAAGACCCAGCCAATCAGCTGGGACTCAGGAGGCGGAGCATAGATGGGGGAGAGGCCAGTTAGAGGTGGGATTGGCCAGTTCTCTGAACTACTCAAAATTTCCGCTACTGGTTCTCTAAACTACTCAACATTTCTGCTACCGGTTCTCCTGAACCGCTCAGAACCTGCTGAATACCACCTCTTCCCAGGAAACTGCAACCATCGTAAATACAGGCCGGTTGCCAAAATGTTAGTTTTGATCGCACCAACCACGGGGCTGCTGTGACAGATATAAGTGTGAGGACCAGTTGTAAGTCCGTGTTTTTTTTCAGTGTTGGTGTGACTCAAACGGTCGATAAATGAATGTGTAAGTTGAGGTGGTTCCTCTCCAAGCACTGCTGAATTTTCTGCAGGATCTGCTGTCCGTCATGCCCCGTTTTGTAATTGCCCAAAATCATCAGCAAGCAAAATTTTGTCTTCTTCTTGCATCATCCTGTCACCAAATTGCTGCAAACACAGGGCAGGATATTGGGTGGTTTGGCAAAAAGCGTGTATTAAAATCACGGGCCTTTCCGATCATAGTAAACCTTCGTGCAACGTGGACCGAGTTGGCGTGACTCAATTTTTTTTCTGCCTTCCTCGGTGAAGTTGCATCCGGGCCACACAAACACAGCACAGGAAACTGTGGTGCTTT